TACAACAGGGCATGGCCGAGTCATAAAGAGACATGGAGGAACCATGAAAACATTCTGTGAGATAAAACGTCTGTCCCAAAATCCCACTTACATGAAATGCACAGATGTACAGGGGTCAACATTTTGAGTGGTTACGAATAACCCAGGAGTGGAAGGGAGTGGGGAAGGGGGTGTCCTTTGTTTCAAGGCACAAATGTCTGCTCAGGGTGGTGGAATCATTTGGGGAAGGATAGCAGTGATGGTTACACAACACGGTGAGTGGGATCCATGTCCCGGAATTGTACGTGTGAAAATGGCACAGAATTGTACAGGATACCTTGTCATATATGTTTTCACAGAATAGAGCCTGGCATGTACCATTCTAAGGTCTTCTCAGCTTTCAGCCCAGAGAATGCTCACCAGGACCCTGGTCTTATTATGAACCCCTTTTATTTAGGAGGAAAAGGAGGCCCAGAGAAAACATGCAGGGCCACCAGGCTAGTCAGTGGTAGGGCCAGGATTTGAACCCAGGACATTGGGTTCTGAACCCCACCCCTAGCTACTGCAGAGATCATTCTTTTGAGAGCAGAATAACAGTAAGAGGCAGCTTCAAAAAAGTTTAAGGAAAAAGGAATGAAATGGTAATGGGATTTTCCCATAAACTTTCTGAAACCCCTTATAGGTGACAAGAAATATACAAAAAGTGCTTCTGTTCTTGGGCCTAGTAACTCCTGTTCTGGAAAAAGAAATTCAATAGAAGTAAAAGCCCTCAGAGGCCCTGGGTGGTGAAATGGTTAATGCATATGTCTGCTAACAAATCCACCCAGAGGTGCTGCAGAAGGAAAGACTGACAGTCTCCTTCTGGAAAGCCAGTTACTGAAAACCCTGTGGAGCACATATCTGCTCTGACACACATGAGTTCTCCATGAGTTGGAATCAACTGGACAGCAACTGGTTTTTTAAAAGCCCCTGTGTGGATAATCCGGAGTTCTGGTGTGACGGCGTAAGAGCAGCACAGGACTGCTAACCACAAGGTTGACAGTTCAAACCCACTAGCCACTCCTCGGAAACCCTGTACAGGATCACTGTGAGTTGGAACCAACTCAAGGGCACTTAACAACAGCTACGTGTTGATAATTAGGACCCTGGTGGCCTAGTGGACTAAGTGTTGGGCTGCTAACTACAAGGACAGAAATTAGAATGTACCAGCTACACTGTTGAAATCAAAGGGACTGTGTGCCCCCACAAAGATGTCCAGAGATCAGTGGGACTGTGTGCCCCCACAAAGATGTCCAGAGATCAGTGGGACTGTGTGC